GCAGAGTGATGGAGATAACGCATGCGGTGTTATCTCACGTGGCGAAGGAAGCGCAGACGAACAATTTGCATATTTTGATGGAAAGAGTGAAGGCGTTGGGTTTAGCCTGTGACGGCTTGCATGCCTCTTCTTCTGTTGATTTGTAGCTGCTAGCCCGGGATATCCACTGAAAATAAATATAAAATTAAATAAATAAACTGAAAAATATTAAAAATTTTGATTGAAAGCGTGAAACGCCGCTGGGTTTAGCCGGCGATGGCTTGCGTACCTCTTCTTATTTGTTGCTGCTAGCACGCGATCTCCACCGAAAATAAATATAAAATAAAATAAGTAAACTAAGAATATAATTATTTTTTAAATAAATAAAATAAATAAACTAAAAATATAATTATTTTGCTCGTTACCCGTTCACAAATGCCTCATATGCTGCCCGGTTTCAGAGGCGTTTCTGAATCAAGTGCAAGCATTCTGCTGCTTCCTCAGCATAAATTTATTTTAGTTAAAATAAATTTTGGTTTTCTTGTAATAAATTTTGGTTTTCTTTGTTTTATAAAACCAACGCAACGAGTATTCACTTTATTAGGATTGAAATGACGCCGCTTTTGTTGCATTTGAACTGAAATTCAATTGAAACAGATTCAGGTGTATAGGCAGCTCAGTCGAACCGTAGTATCTATCTCGATCACGTCATTCTGTACAAATTTCGGCGGAAACATCAGAGAAATATTGTTTTTTTTTCATAAAAATAAAGAGAAATGATTCATATATTCCCTCAAGAATAGCGAGAAATGGTTTATTTTCTCCTTTTTTCTCTGCTCCTGCTCAGCAGCGGCCTCTCTTTTGCAAACGCCGTTCAAAACCACCAGAAAGCTGAACGCGGTGATATTGTGGATTCTATGCTGCAAATGCAAACAGATTTCAATGAAGTTCTCGATAAAATATTCGACGGACCCGCGGACGTCATCGTAGCCACCAAGGCAAGTGTACAAATACAAAACCAACAAACTCTGCCGCAAATATTTTTATTTATTTTTCACAAATTTTCTTCTGTTGATTCTGCACAGCCTGGAGGTCGTCTGACTGTTCCCGCGACGCGTAACCCGGTAAGCAACGAGCCATGATGATGTCTTTTTTTTTTTTTTTTTTTTTTTTTTTTTTTTTTTTTTTTTTTTTT